TGCTTTGATATTTTTTACTTCAATGTTTTTAGTCTGACAAGTAAATCTACTGGTACTTTTGATAGAACAAGATTGAAAAATCATTAAAAACCATTTATACTAAACATTTTTACAAAATTATTTTTTATTTAAATATTTGTTAGGGGTTTGAAACTTGTAAATATATTATTATATTTACATACACATTTAATAATCATTTAGATTAATTTAATGCTCTTGCCTATTTATATCACATATCTATTCACATTGCTCTACTGTAAGTTAGAATAAACAATCTTCTATTAAAATAATTAAATATTAATAGTAAAATTAATAAAATTACTAGAATAATTAATAGCAATATAATCAAATAATAATTACAACTTGCTTTAAAATTAAAACATAATAACGACACGAAAACAGATAATATTTCTAAGTTATAATTTGATAATATGTCAATTTATTATATTTAAATGAGGAAAATGAATTCTTCTGTACCAAAATTTTCAAAGCAGTACATTTGTAAGACAAAACCAACACATGTAAGCATGATATTCCTTAAAGTGTTTCAGCATAGAAACAAAATAAATTTGCCGCTAAATTGGAGTTGAATTTGTTAGAAGTTGAAAGTTATATGGTGTGTTATAAATTATTATTGATTACACTAAACTATAATTTAAAAATATTGTTAATTTAACCACAGATTTCTATAGGTATAAGTTATTTATATAAATATTATAAAGCCATTTTGTAACATTAAATTATATATTTTGGGCAAGTAAGTAAATATTTYTGCTTTATAAAAACAAAAAATTAAATATGATGTACAAGAGCCAAAACTATATGATAAATAGTATATAATATTATATACTAATATTGCAATGTGCTAACATATTATTGTTTAAGACTTTAAGAGAGACCCAACTTACATATCAGTGTTAACAAGGCTTTCACAGCAATCCAATTTGTCATCATCATCAATACAATGCTCTGATCTTCCTATGAGGTCTTTGCAGGTCTGTTGAAGTTCTTTCAACTGTTTTTCGTTATTCTCTATTCTCTATAAAATTGTAATGGTAATAATTAATATTATTTTATTATTGGTTATAAACTCGGTTATAACTTAATAAAGAATAAGTGTATTTAATTTATATTACAGCTAGTATTGATGATATTGCTTCACTGCTAGGAGTCATAATAGTCATCAAATTGTTAGCTAGTTGTTTTAGGTTAACCAATCGTTTTTCATGTTCATTAAGTTCATGTTCTGAACCTGAATCTGACATGCCACTGTCAGAAGCTGAACCAAAACATCCAGACTTTTGGTTTCTACCAACCATACCATTGTCACCAAAACCTTTAAATTTCAACTCAAGTTCCATTAGCTGTTTGTCACACTCAGCCCATGTGATTAACGCATTCTGATATCTTAATATCTCGCTTTCTAATCTGTAACCATGAATACAAACATAAATACATTTGTATATAATTTAAGACAAATCATAATAACATTAATATTTAATAAAGTATTGTCGTAATGGCTTTACTAATTGTGTTTTGCTACAGTATAATATTATTTTTTTATAATTTTAGTTATTGCACGTCAGAAAATATGAGCAGTTATAAACTGTTATCAAATACACCAACAACTAAGTATTGCCCATTGGACTTAAAAAATATATACAGAATTTATGAAAAGCATCCTGATTTGTCAGAAATATCAGTTTGTTGTGCAACTAGAATCAGTTATAGATTTATGTTGACTGAGAAAGTTTGCGTGAAGAAATTTAATCCACAATTTATTAAAGTAAATAAATTCAAAATAGTTGTTGTCAATTAAATAATATAGGTCTGTCATTTGTATTTATATCTTTTTTTTTATATAACTAATGGGTAAACACTATTTAATATTGATAATATACACAGCAACTCATAACATTAAATACCATTTCAAAAATTAATAACAAATAATTTCAAGGTTCAAAGTTGCAACAAAATAATCAAGTATCATGCACAAGCTTTATACACACCAAAGTTTGAAAATAAAATTAATGGAGTGTTATTGATTGAAGTAGTAAACTTAGATCTTAAACGTTTTAAGAAAAAAAGTATTAATGGTATGATGAAAATTGCATGTAGATCAATGGAATTCCTGATACATTCTTTAATAAAACAACAAATTATTATAACACATTTTTTAATGAAAATTATGACCATCTCTGGGACAAAAAACAATGTATAATCTATGGCACGAATATAAAATCATCAAATAGGATGACAATAAATTACTATGAAAAATGGATAACAGTATCAAACAATACCGTTACTGTTAATAGAAAGTGTCGAGAAACTGATGAGTAAGTAAATAATATATGCATACAAAATGGTTTGTTCAGACTACACTTTATAAACAATATCAATGTTAAAAGTGGCAATAATAAATGGATGTGTCCCATAAGACAAGATGTGCAATTTTGTGAAGAGGATATAGGTTGTCCAATGATATGTGACAATAAGATAATTGGAATTGCCAGTCAAAGATATAATTGGAGGACTTGGGCCATAGGAATGGAGTGTGGAAATTTAGATGTGGAGATCAGATATTTGTTTTTAAATCGAGAATATCTGAATTGGATAAAACAAATCATTGGGATAAATTCTTAGAGTTTAAACACTATTTTTAGTCTTACAAACAGTAACAAAAACTACTTTTTATTTTTTGTTTTAAATGTTTAAAAGATAAACCTTTGTTCCCTAATACTACAGGGTGTCCCACGAGGATTTGCCCATTGTGATATCTCCTGGGATAATAAATATATCATAAATCTGTTTTTTTTTTTTTATTAGACTAACATAGACAAGGGATACATGTATTTTATTTTTGAATTTAATTAAATTGTTTCTAAAATGGTTTAAAAAATTATTATTTTTCTGACAATTTTGACAGTTAAACATTTTATTTTCATTAATTTCATGATTTTTAATGTTTTTTTTAGTTTATAGATAAATCTGCAAAAATCTGGTTTTTATCCGGGCGACGAGCCCTCTCTACGATTAATGGGTATGCCCTCAAGGGACACCTCTATATATATA